ATATATATATACAAGATTCCAAAAATCTAAGCAAAAAGGACATTTTTCAATGACGGTGGTTGAAATTCATTGAAAACATATAAATGAGTCAGCATATAAAAATAATTACCAAAAGTTAATGAATTTGTAAGTCCTTAATATTAGAAAAATAATTAAATAAATATTTTATCTAATGTAAATCTGTTTTAAAGTGTCAAAAAGAACTAAGAGTTCCAAATAATTGACTTTTCTTAACGATTTATTTAAGGTAAATTTTTAATTGAGTTTAATATCCTAAATTTTGAGCACATAATTCAAATAACAAAAAATTTAGTGCCCAAATTTCAATAGATTTATAAGTACTAAATATTAAAAAAAAATAATTTTATATAGTATAAAATTAATTTTTTAAGAGTAAAAAAGGACTAAACATTCCAAATAATTGACTTTTCTTAACAATTTATATAATATTAAAATACTAAATTTTAGGTACATAATTCAAATAATAAAACATTTAACAACTAAATTTTAATAAATTTATAAGTCCTAAATATTAAAAAAATAATTAAATAAGTATTCTAGTTTTGAAAAGATAAAAAAAGGGAATACATTTCGTAAGGGGCTTTCAAACTTAGCATTGAAACATCTATAGATAGGGGTTTAGGGTTTAAGGCAGTACCCCTCCAACAAAGGCGCACTTTTGCAACCTCTGTTTGCCTGTTTTCTCTTTTTTTTTTTCCAGAGAAGAGAAGATGATGGGCGCTAACACAGGGAAGAAACAGAAAGTGGATGAAGAAAATAGCAACATCATTGACAAATTGCAAGAAATACAAGACGAGCTTGAGAAGGTAAAATAATCCCTTTCTTTTCCAAAATTTATCCCTTTTCTTTTGATGAACAGAAGGGACAATTTATTGCCCTAATTGTGTTTAAAATCCAAGATCTTAAGTGGGTTCAGAGTACACTGCTTTTTTAGCATATATATCTTTTTCAAAAGAATTAATTTTTAGTCAAAGGCCGTACGTTTAATGTTTTCCATTAGAGAAATTGGTTGTAATTTCCAACTTGGCATTTTTTTTGAAGCACATTGTATATGGAATTTATATCTTTGCTTGTATATGTGTATATGTGTGTGTGTGGGAGGTGAGATATATATATATATATATATATATATATATATATATATATATATATATATATATATA